GAAGTCAGGAGAGTGATTCCCCGAGGAGGGTGGGAGGGGTGAATTAGGCATCTTGGGTGCTGATAATGTTTGGTTTCTTGATTTGGGTGCTGGTTACATGAATGTGCGCAGTCTACAAAAGTTCATCAAAGTTCTACATTAATATACAATATACACTTTTTGTATGTGTATTATACTTCAATAAAAGATCTTAAAAAAAAGAAAAGAAAAACTTGCCCATTGTTGACACAACAGACAGAAAGGCTGTGAGTGGGTTTTGTTGGCTGTCTGTTGGAGGAAAGCAAAACATTCTTCCCACTAACATTCCTGCCTGTTTTTAAAAACCATGTCATTGCACTGAAAGCTCATTATGTTTGTTCCATTCTGTGGTAAGCAAGCACGGCTCTCAGCTTGGAGGAACTTAAAATCAATCATGAAAGAAAATCTGACAAATAGAAGCTGAAAGATTCCCTTTTCCTGAAGCCTCTCAGCCCTCAAAGGCGGGGGCTCCATGGAGGGGAGACACTGCCTTCTGCGTCTGCAAGTGGCCCCCGATTCCTCACCACCTCATGTTCTCGGTAGCCAGTGGGTATGGCGCTGGACAAGGTTTTCTGCTTAAGTTATTTTCTGCTGAAAAAAGGAGCTAGATTTCACTTGTTTCCCTTTTAGACAACCTGTTTCACATACACAGACATCGAAAACAACATTAGTAACCATAATGCACACAGAGTGTTTACTGTGAGCCCGGTAAGGTCTAAGTGCCTTAGGTACAGATTAGTAAATTCAGCCCTCACAACAACCCATGAAGTAGCATTATTCTTAACATCATTTTCCAGATGAAGAAACCCAGGCAGAGGCTAAGTAACTTCCCAGCTCTCACAGCTAGAACAGCAGAGCTGGGATTTGAACCCAAGCAGTCTGGCTCCTGACAACATGTGATGCTTCTATTTTTCAAATGTCCTCTATTTGACTGCATTTTAGTTCTTTGGACTTCTGGAAATGGTTGTAAGGAGGTTTGGGAGCAGAGGAAGTGGTGGAAAGGGAAAGAAAGAAAAGACAATCTCTAGTCAGTCCCTTCCCCACACCCTGCCCACACACACACTATGTCTCTAATTTTCTATTCTTTTAAAAATATATCATCTCCTTCTCCACCTAGCAAAATCCCAGCACATCCTTCAAGCTTCAGATCAAATGCCACTTCTTCAATAAACTCCTCCCTGAAATCCCACACAGTATTGTTCCTGCCTCTCAGCATCGGTGCTACTTGTTTCAAATGGAAAGATAAAACATTTACCAAATTATGATTGGATATGTGTCACTTCTACTAAGCTGTCAGTGCCTTGAAGATGGGGATTGTGTCTGATCCACATTTACTTCTATTCCCACTCTCAAGGGAGTAGGAGTCAATATTGGGCACACAGTATTTGTTAAATTGGATTGAAGAGAGTTATTCTGTAACACAACAGATTAATTGTAGCTTCCTAATTTTTGGCCAAAAGAACAGAGTTCTGATAAATCTATAGTTCATGATGGGGATAATTTAAAATAAGTGCATACAAAGAAAGCACATGGGGGCTCTTTGTGCCCCTGTCCCCTGGAATGGGAGACGGGAGGGTGGAACTGGCGTAGGAAGGGCAGCTGCGCAGCAGGTGTAGCGGCACAACTCCTGCCCCGCCCATGGAAGGCATCGCTGCTGTCGTGACAGCCCAGCAGTGGCCTCACACAGCTGTCCCCACACAGGGCTCCAGGCAGGCAGGACTATTTGAGCAGAGCTTGCCTGTGAAAAGAAATCTGCTGGCCGCTTCTAATTTAGAACTTTCCTTGTGTTGAGGAAAAACAGGATGGAACATATTAATCAGCATGATCTTCGGAATGATTTGGGCTGGGTCACTTCGCACTGGACTCAGAAGCTCCCTCTTGCTCACTTTGCTCCTGCGTTGGGGTGTTTTCAGTATTTCCTTCCAGCAGAAGAAGGGAAATAAGACACCAGAAACTGTGTGGCCTGCTACTTGACCAAACAGCTGAGTGACACTCCAATTTGGCTTCTGACCAAAAACGCTGTTCATATTTCTATAAAGTCTGCATTAAAACAGCATTTGCAGCTTCCAGACTTGTTTCGCCTTCCTTGCCCTCCAGTCCTGTCCAGCTTAGCACCTCAATGCCTTTCCCCCCGGCTAAATACCGGTGATTTTTCCAACATGACTACCTGGCACATGAAGTCAATTTCACACACACACACACACACGCCACTTCGAGGAGCTTCTGTTCTCTCCACCGGAACTCCAGGTGTTAGTGTAAGAAACGCCTGTTTTAACGCAGCAGACAAGAATGAAGTGAGGAAGCGCTTCAGTTCTACTCTCCAGGACGTCACCTAGGGAGGCACTCAGGTTCAGAGTCCTTTGAGGCTGGATGTCTTCCGTATTAAGTCTGGGAAGAGACGAAGGATTTGGGGGCCTGCTCTGTGTATGCTTCACAGTTCGTTATTTCTGGAAAGTGAAATTCCAAACTGGCCAATTTGCAAGAGTCATCTACAGCCTGGGATTATTTGTCAAAAGGTTTCTGAAATTCTTGTGACTATTCAGATGTACACCATTTTCCTTATCATTTTCATGTAGAGTCTTTGAACGATAAGTTAATGAGCTTCTGTTATACTAGAAGCATTTCTAGAATAATATTCTTCATTTATGTGTGTGAAACACACATTTAATCCCCCCAAGCAAATGTCTGTTCGGATGTTGAAAGCACGATCTTTATCGTGTTGAATTCTCCCACAAGTGTGGCTGCTACTTGGAATCCAACCCCGTTGTTTTGAATAAACAGCTATTACTCACTTTAAAAACCAATTAGCTAAGAAAAATCTATTCCATTAGGATAGATTTTGGACTTAAATAAATAAGAAAAATCTAAAATAAAACTCCTAATAATTGAGAAGTAATGATGAAAGATTTTTAACTATTTTAAATGTAGGTTGTTGTCCTAAGATAATACAGTAGTAACTGTTAAATTTAAGTACATTGTGAATAACTCTAATCTGGTAAATTCAATACATGATTCTATTATGGAATTTATGAATTCTCATAATTTGAATAAGACTTTTCCATGTCTCCAGACTTGTCCTAAAATACATTTCTTATACTATTTTATTCCCAGGTTTTGAACTATTATCATGCTTACTGACAATTTCTTTACGTGTTTATTTGACAATGAATTTAGGGATAGTGGGAAGAACTCCAGACATGTATTTTAAATGCCTTGCTTGAGGATCTAGCCCAGTATCCACACACAAATTCGAAAACACGGGAATTGAGTGAATGAATGAATGAATGCTACTCACTGATACTAACACATTGCTCCAGTGAGTTTGCCCGAATCTCCCTGTAGACTACAGTTCAGATTTCCATTTATAAAATCGATCTAAACTTTGGGCTTGAAATGCAATTAAATTTGGCTCTTGAAGAAGAAGAAGTAGAAGGAGGAGGAGGAGAAGTTTAAAGTTAATTCAATTCTTTCCTTTTTTTAAAGAAAACTTTTCTCCCCTATTTCATATAGTTTTACTATTTGACAAGGCAATACAGGTACATGGCCCCAAAACCAAAAAATATAAGGGTTTCATCACATATGTATTTCTCCTTCTATGTTGACAAAGCTCTCCTTCAGGATGGCCAGCTTCACTGCGGGAATGCAGCAGCAGCCTCTGTGGCTAAGTTTTCTACAGGACCCAGAGCCCATATGGGCTTCCTCCTGCTCTGAAAGAGAGCTGGGAACAGGACAGTGCCCCTCAGCGTCTCGGCACCTGGCCGTGATGAGTGATGGGTGCTCCTGTCATGAGTGCTCTCTGGTACCCTCTAGATTCCATCTAGACGGGTCTGGTCAGTACTGGGATTAGCCAAAGAGCAGCTGCTGCATGTGGATATCATTTGTTAGACCTCAGGGACTTCCTTGACCTGAGGGTGCCCAGTGGAAACTTGGAACCGGACCCTCTTTGGAAAGGACTCTAAAGGAGCCAGGCCCCAGGCACACATGCCTTTGAAAGACGTGGCTAAGGATCTAACTGCTACAAGGGAGGCAACGTGACTGCCTGCGGCACCGTCACAGACTTGTTTCTGTCATTTACTCTCGTCTGTTCAGGAAGGTCATTCCCAATTATTTCTTTCGTACTTGTACTCGGTGTCAGCCCCAGGAAGCTGCAGCTGGGCACCAAGGAGGAACAGATGCCAGCAAAGGAATCACCAGCCATGGATCTTGCTTGGGTTGTGGGTTCCCTGCTCATTGGGGGGAAGGTGGCTCACTAAATACTGCACACTCTGTACCAGTGTTGCAAAGTAAATTAGAGCTTTGTTTAATGATTATTTTTAAAGAGACAACATAGCCAGGAAGGTATACTAGTCCCACATAGAAATTTACTCCCAGAGGTAGATTTACCTTGAAACCAGTGAAGCGGAAGTTTTCAGGGCCTCTCCCCAGCATGGGTCCCCACGAGGCTCTGGGCCTAACTCATATGACTAACTTTATATTCTTCCTTGCACAGAGTGCTCCTCAAACTGTATAACCTTCATGCTCCACAAAACCTGGATCTGACCTTATTTACTGCCACAGCCAATTTTCATTTATCTGCTAGTTGATTGTCCAAATTTCAGCTTTATCCAGAGGCAAATCTTGCTCACTAAAGTAAGCTATTTCCTTAGCAGTCCACTGGTTCTTTTGTTTTATATGTACTTCTCGCTTGACTTGCTAAGTAACAGGACTTTCTGTGAAATGTTCTGACCCGTCCCTAGTGGGAGAATTTTTGATAAAGAATGGAATTGCCTTCTCTAAGCACCAAAGCGGGCGCAGGAACTAGAAAAGCCTTGTTTTGGTAAACAATCGTCCCTGAGACAAATTTTGTCTCTGTACCTTTGTTTTTGATTAAAATGAGCCCCTCGGACATAAAATTCACATATTAAGGAAATAAATATTTCAAACCCAAATGTGAAAGATTTGAGGGGTCAATCATACTTCTTCTCAGCCCCATTAGGGAGGATAACTGAAAATTGTCAGTATTTCTATGTTTTAATTTGACTGGAATTAAGCATTGACAGATTTGTCATCTGATATTTTTTCTGTGGAGTTGTTATCTTTTTTGTTTGTTTCTAAATCACTCCTTTTTTAGCCCAAGGAGTTTAATATCTGACAGAATTTGAGCTCAGCCTTTGTGACCTGTATCACTTTGGCATAGTAACAGCAGCAGTGGTGCACAGCGTGTCTGTATTCTAGTTGCTGAATATTTAACAGAATAAATAAATGCTTATGAAATGAATATCTATCTCTGAGATTACTTCGTATTCTTTGGAAAATCATCTTTACCTCTGATTTTTAAAAATCAGGAAAACAGAGGTTGGATGCTTTGTAATAAATATACCTACTTAATAGCTCCAATTATTCACTTATTGGTAATACATTTAAATTCATGAAAGGTGAGGAATTTTTTAACTCAGCAAGTAATATTTCTTGGAGATAAAAATTTGTTATTCTTTGTGAATTTCTATAGGAAAGCTTGGTTTTTTTCTGAGGTGGGAAATAATCAGGTTTTTAGGAAATGCCCCTTTACTAGGCCAATTTGTGTAACTCTACAGTCAGAGAGAAAGGTGGGGCAAAGATAGGTTGATTTCTAACTTACTATAGTACACTTTTATACTTTAAAGCTTGTAAATTGATTTTTTAAACTACATTTTCATCGAAATATGTTCCTACATTTCTCATCTTTGTTCACTATATATTATTTGCCTTGATAATAGAGAGCTGGCTTTGGTTTTCAAACTCAAGAACCCTTAGAAGAGTTTACATACAAAAAAAATCGTAAGTAAATCCAATATTATCGTAGGCAGATTGATATCATAGGTAAATTTGTTTTAAAAAACTCACCACCTGCTCCTTAAGAATAACCTTAGGTAACGCTTCATCTTCTCAGCTACCCACACTGTGCTAGCAAGGTACCCGAACAACAGAAGAAACAACGAGGAAGGAAGGAGGGGACAGGCGTTCTGCGGGTGACAATGTTGTTGCGTGTAGTATTATACTGTGACATAGGGTGCATTTATCACCACTCCTGAGGATAAGACAACAGCGTGCAAGATACCCTGTCAGAGAGTAAGATGGAAAACGTCTTTTTAAACTGGCCCTACAATGCTCTTCAGACTTCTGCTCCCTGTGGCAGACATTTATGACACATGACAGGAGAGTTTGGAGTTTACGGA